TGACAGGTCGGAACTATGAATATCAGATTTATTTGCTTAATTGCTGTTGCAAAGCTCTTGCCCTTTCTATGTAAATTGAAAAGAAAAATTGGTGTCAGGGTTTTTCTATTGGGTGAGTGAAAAAACAGGAAATAGTAGAGATAGGGGAAATTATTAACATCAGAAATGCCAAACTTCCATGTATACAAATTTGCTGTAAGAAAGCTCACCTTCTTCTCTCACCACATTTTGTGCAACTACATCAGCTAATTTGAAAAACAAAATATTTTTTCATCATAGTGATAAAAAATAACACTGTTAATTGATTTATAGTGACATTCCAAGGTTTTCTGTTACAGTCACAGATGCACAAGTCATAATAAAATGGAAAGGATATCTTGCTCACTGTGAAATTCATGAAAATGATAGTCAATAACTAAACATCAGTTGTTTAAAGCTGGGTTAAGATAACCCAGGGTTAGTGTGAAATTTTCTTTTAAAGCTTTCAGATCTAAAAACTTTAAAAGAAAATTTAGTCAAATTTCTTTTTGTCTAGAATATGGCTCTTTGATGCTCTTAAAAGAACACAGAAAGTTATTCCAAAAAGGCTTTTGAATAAAGGAATAAAGAAACCTAGAATAAAATTTAACCTTGGGTTAGTGCTTATTGGCCTTTGAACAACTGGGCCTAGGATAGCACTGTAAGATCAATAAAATAATGAGCATAATTAGCATTAGGTTGGTAATGATTTCATGTAGTGAGAAAAAATGACGTTGTTATGAGTTATTTCTTATATGAAGTAATGGACCAAGTTTTTTCCACTGCCATATGGCCCAAGCACATAGCACATCAGTCATAAAAAGAAGTAGGAAAATGAGGATCCATAACTTAGGCCCGGTTCAAACGTCAAACTTTACATGTGCCGAACCTAATAATTAAGTTCGGCACATGTGAAGTTAGACGTATGAATCAATGGGATCGACAGTTTTTTATTTGGGTCGATCTGCCGTTCTATTCGACTGAACTTGTCGAATAGAACGGGAAAAGATCGACTTTGAATCACACGTCAATCTTTACATGTGCCGAACCAAATGCATACATTATGCATACATTACGCATACATTAAATTAATAATTTTTTCCCACAATCCCGCTTGTTTTTACGTAGTTGCCATGTGCAGAAGACTAAATTTGAGAAAATGGCAGGTAAAGAAGAACAATGTTGCTCCTTGTTTTAACAATATAAAATATACTTGTTTAAGATGCCAGGAATACTTTTGTATTCCCTGTTCTGTGTTCGAGAATGATGAAACTGTCAAGGGCTGGAAGGCGGGCACTTCAGTCACACATTGTGAGCCATGTTTCTGAGAAGTTATGGAAGAGAGCGAAAAGGTCGCAGGTAAATATGATTCTGATGAATCCCACAAAGATTGAGATCTTGCAAAGCAGGAAGAACGGTCTTCTAAAAAAAGGAAATCCATCGAAGAAGATACAATGAAAAGGTCAGTATGAAAACAACACAACCACATGTTTAGTTTCAATTATGGAACTGAGATACTCATGATGCCATAATTTAATATTTCTACTGCCATGTTTGAGAGTTGTTATTGTTCTTGTGATCTTTAAGAACCTGTTTCCTATCAATAACAAACAAGCCAAGTAGTCAACTACAAAAGTTTGTGAAAGAATGTTAAAACAAATTTGGATGACTTACTAGGACAGCACTGATACCATTGTTTATTTAGTGGACAAGATAAAAATTTGTAGGACTTATCATCATGCTTATTTTGTGGCGGATGGCAATAATATAATGTATGTTATTGTTTTTCCATTGGTAGGAATAGAATGGCTACACCAGGCAATGATGATGATGAAGTAGAAGTGGATGAAGAAGATGAAGAGGCTGAAGAGGGTGGAGACTTGGATACATCTCTCAAACTTTTCATGAAAAAAGCCAATGGACAAAAGAAAAAGAAACCAGGTCGAAAAGCCAAGTGGTGTCCATGGGCACTTGATGACCTCATCGATATCATTGTGAGTAACAGCTCATATAAAAAGAAACTTATTTTCACAAATACAAAGAATCAGAAAAATGGAGAGCTGTATGGAGAAATTTTGAAAGAAGTTAAAGCCAGAGCTTCTGCTAGAGGTGAACACTTCTATTTCTCTGTGAATCAATTGTGAAGCAAGTTCAGAAAATGTGTCTCTTTGTGTAAGCAGGCAGTTCTGACACAAAAATCTGCAACTGGAATCAAACGATTTCAAGAAGATCAAGGATTATTCAAGTGATTCACCACTCTCTTTGAAGTGGTGAAGACAAGGGAATCTTGCTAGCCCGATTTGGCACTAGAGCCCTTAGCTTCAATTTCACCAAGTGATTTGTCTGTGGAAATCTCGGATGACAGTGTCAAGGAAAAGAACTATTTGTTCCAATAAAAACAAAAAGAAAGCAGTTGTCTAAAGAGAGACTGGATTTAGCAACAACAGAGGTATTGACCCTTGTAAGAGAGGCTGTTCAAAACGACCCCACCGAAGAACTAATATCATTCATGAAAGAAGAAATGGAAAAATCCCGAGAGCATGAGCTTAGATTGTTTCAGCTTTTGCTCAGCCACAGACCTAATACCAGCCTTAATAGCACACCTTATTCTGGAAATGAACACAACCCATACAGTGGAAATCTTGGCTATTACCCAAGCTTGCATAATGCCACACAAGGTCCCCTAAGTCATCCAGGTCCGAGGATGTCTGAATAGTCATTTGGAGCCTCCTACCCTAACCCAATGGGACTAGACGACAGGGACTATACTGGACTGTGATGTTCATTACTTTTTTGTACATTTGTCTAATGAAATTATTGCTCTGTCACTGTTGTTATTATAAATGTTTAAAAAAGAGAAAGAAACATGTGAAATCGATAGTTAATGTTTGGCAGGAAGCTTGTGAATTAGGTTAGTTGAAGGAACTGTTACTGCTATAAAAAGTCTATGATGCAATCCATGGAAATTTCCCCTTCCATCAAAAGTTTCATACATTAAAAAAGAACCTAGT